AGGGAAAGTTGCCCACCTACAGGTGCAGAAACATCTGGAAAACAGTGGCTCATGCTGCCTGCAGTGTTCTTCAGGCTGCCTTTAGTGAGAGGAGCTGCTCTGCTGTCTGACAGCCCTCTGAAGTTTCAGTGTTCAAGCTATAATCCACCAGGCTTTACATCCTAGCTCAGCAAGGGGCCCTCAGTATTATGCAAAAAATATTACAGTATACCTCTCCTAGCCAGCATCCTTCGCCTCAGCCCTTGGACACTGGAGTTAGCATGAGCTAACTGAGATTGCTATGCCCTTTCTCCCTGCTGCATAAAACCAACACTTGATTTTTCCCACAGACTGAATAAGCACAAAGAATTTGTCCTTTACAATCAAAATGCTTCTTAATTTAGTCAATCTCTACTGATGCTGCACACAAATGTTTGGAGTGAGCTGAGTTAGCAAAGCATGGCAAGTTCTTACATACTGGAAAATGGGTAACAATTTAAGGTCAGTCCTTCTGAGTATATGCCTAACAGTGTTGAGCCAGACCCTTGAATTTTTTCCGTATCTTCTGTGCCTCCCCAGCAGCACAAAAGAGATAGAAAAGCAGAGAAATTAGAGAGGGATCCTCTAGGAAACAGATGCAGATCATCATGCTCAACATACCTCAGGGAGGGGGTTAACATTTCCACTGTCAAATACAAGAGCTTTGCACAGACACTTCATTTCTTCAGGAAAAAAAGAAATTAAACCAGCAGAATCGAACAAACTCAGAAGAGACAAGACATTGAATAGTAAGCATTTCTGAAAGTTAGACTGTGTAGTGTTTGTTTGTTGTGGTTTTTTAAAAGTCACACAGGCTACAGAAAAGGTCCGCAATGTTAACTTTTGTGTATATTACACCTCACTCGCATCCAGCCTCCCGCCAGCTAAAGCTTACACGCGCTTAGCTGTAAGCCATTACCTTCTGTCTGTTAGCCATCCGAAGGTGACATTACCAATGATGTCTATGACACCAAGTATGGACATGAGGAAGGCAGCCTGGTGATGACTCACTCCAACGCTCAAAGCATAAGGAACTAGGTAGACAAAAAGAGGGCTACAGCCATATGCCATAAATAAAACTGACACTGCCAGCACCATGAAGCCTGGCATCAGTAAAAAGTCATATTCCTTCCATGAACAGTAGCATAAACATTCATGAGACCACGCTTTGATTAAAGGTGAACAGATGGACATTCGCTTCAAGTCTTGTTTCTGTGCTTCAGGGACATAATCCTGTTCAAGGAACTCGGGAGCAGTTTTACGGTCCTCCTTAAGAGCAATAGGCCGCATCAAGGCACCGCAGACACAGAGGTTCAAAACAAAACCTCCCAGGATGAGTAAAGCTCCACGCCAGGAAAACTGCTCGATTAAGAGCTGGACCACGGGGGCCAGGATGAAGGTACCAATTCCACTTCCTGACATAGCTATTCCATACGCCAGCGCTTTTCTTTTGTTGAAATATTTACCCACCATGGCAATGGCTGGAGAATAACAGAGTGCAAACCCAAGTCCTAGAAGAGAAAGCACAGTACAGATGACTCAATACTAAGCACGACACAAAGAACGCATTAAATTAAACCACTTAACCTACATTAGCACGAATGAATAGAAGGATTTTCCTGATGCTGTATCATGCTGCCCAGACACAGTGTGAAGAGAAAACCAAGATTACTCCTTTCTTCCACTGTCAGGGTCACTGACTTGACGTACCTAACAGATCATCATTAATCCAGGATAACAAGGCTCAGAAAGAAGTGATGGGGTTCACTTAATAACAAGGATGAGCAATAAACTTCAGAGAAATGGTGTGCCAGCCTCTCCTAGATGCATGATGAGGTCTTGCCCCAGGGTCTGTGCAGATGTTGGCACCGAGCATGCTGTCTTGATGAGGCACCACTTTGTGTTTCAGTCTGTTGAAATCCTGAACATTAATTTTCAGCTCTCTGAAACACAGTACAAAGAGTCCATCTCTGTTCCTAATATTCTACAATAAACCTTTTTTAGTCAGCTAAACAAACTCCACACAGCAGCTGCTTGGACTCCTGACCATTTTAAATCCCTGCCTACAAGTAAAGAGGGGGAAAAAAGCCTCAGAAAACAAATCCATGTCTAATTTAGTAAACAAATATGAGGCATCTCTTGGACTGGGAAAAAGATTGTGATCTCTGCTGCAGAACTAGAGAGCAGATTTAAATTATCAAATGCTTGCGCTAACACTAAAACGTGTATTTCTGAGTCGGATGTGGAAATGAGTTCCTGATTAGGCTTTTGGAGCATGTTCTACATTGACGGTAAAACGGGGACTGGCCAACAGAGGAGATAATCACCCAGCGCTGTAACCGGCTTGCCATGTCCTCCTCAAAGGCCGCACTGTGTCGGGTGGGCACTAAGCCTGCTGCAATGGGATAAGTGGATTAGAGGGACTGTAGTCGGTTGGGTGCCCGCTTTGGCAGCCCTCAGGAGGTGAGGGGAGGAGCAGGGCAGAGAGCTGGGGTTGGACCTGTGTGGGCAGCAGAGCCAGAGGAGCAGCCCTGAGCTGGACATTACTTGAGAGCCGTGAAAATCATACTCTATTTGGCATATACACCGTTCATCTTATAGTGGTTTGTCAGAGGGAAATAGGTCCCCAGAAAGGCACTAAATGTTCTGTGAAAAGCAGAAATGCAGTCTGGGGATGAAAACATTTTCATACCTCTTAGAAGGAATTCTGCTACCTATGGCCACTCCCCTATCTCACCTCTGCTCCACTCTTCACGGTTTCAAGTCCTGCAGCTCTTATGGATGTAAACCTTCACCAGTTATACTCCCATCTCCTCTCTGGGCTGGGGGACCACCTTTAGCCTTTACCAACAGCTCACCTCTCCTTTAATCAGTCCCCATAGACTAGAAGTTCACTGCTTGTAGAACTGGCTCTTTACAACTCCATGTACAAAGCGCAGCTGCTTTTCTACCTCAGCATTCAGAGCAGTTCTCACTAAGGAAGCCTCAGTGGCATTAGCATGGTATGTGGCACAGTCCCTCAGGTTACAAGGAGCCCTTTTATTTGTTATGAACACATTTGTCAAAGCTTAACATTGCAATAGAGGAGTGACATGCACTACAACAAGGATTTTTTTCCCTCTTTTTTTTTTTAACAAATAAGCTGTTGGCAGCATGTGAACTGCAGTAATTCCACCAACTTGTTACTAAACAGCAGGGGACCAAGTACAAGGGCTTATATCACCGTGGCTACCAGGTCAGTATTAATGAGGAAGGAATGTCAGTGTGACCACGGGCACCTCTCAAGTTCCCCTGTGCAAAACAAACACAGGAGGATAGGACAGAGCAAAGATGTTTGTTATCACTGTACCTGAAAGCAAACGGAGGAGCTGCTACAGCAACACTACCAACCAGCAACTCGTTTACTTTTCAATTGGAATGTAACACAGACAAAAAGAAGGTGCACAGCTGAGGTACCAGGTATTCACCCAGTGCTCCTCAGCCCACTTACTTTTATGTTTCAATTTAAACCTTTTTTTTGTTTAATATGCAAATATTTTGAGGTATTCTAGAATTCCTACTACAAACTCCTCCCAAATCACAGGCCAAAAAGGACACCTTTTTGTGTATCACCTGTAACAGCAGTACTTCCTGACCTCCCATAATTTCAGGACTCTATCCATAGTCCTCTCTCTAACAGAAAATAGAGTTGTTTTTGCAGGATGCTGCATTTGGGCTGTATGAGACTACTGAGTACTGAAGCCTTCACAAAGGCAGGCAATGTTTCTCTTTTACAACGAAGGGAACAGGTCTGAGTATTAACCAGTGTGGTGGCAATATGACACGGAGAAGAGATCACACCTCTCGAAAGGAAGGACCATAATTTTTAACATTCCTGTGTTGTTTTCCTGGCAGGAACAAAGGGGCTGAATGCCTCCTACCTGTAAGGATTCCTAATGATAAGTAGAGATGTTCCAGGCTGGTGGCGAATGAACTCAAAATTAGTCCAGTAGATGCAAGCAGCCCTCCTAGCATGATACCAACTTGGCAGGATACATGATTACTGATTAAACTCCCAAGCGGGGCTTCAAAGAAACAAATAAAGCTGGCAGTTAATGGCAGGTCCTCACACACAGCTTCTTGCAATGGTTGTCAAGGAAAAGAAAGCAATAGGCAAGCGGGAGAAAACAGTGATAACATCTACACAGAGTGGTCTTCCAATATTCCCCCATCACAAATGGTGTGAGCACCAAAAAACTTCTAAAAATCATTTTCCTGAAAGTCAAGATAAAACTGAAATTTACAGTAGCTTTCTCAGTAGCCATTTTTGTAGATCAAAGTCATTACAGGACACAGCTACTCTGCAGTTTTTGGTATCAAGAGAGGCTACAGCGACAGCCCATGCTGTCCATCACTCCACACTTACAACATCAAGACCTTCCCCCAGCTGCAATTTGCACTTCAGCCCTCAGGAACTTCAGGTGTCTTTCCTCGTTCCTCCTTGGCCTTGTGGGCTGTGTCACAGCCAAACAGGAGAGGTCTCACCTTTTGGACCATCTCCAGGACTGCTACCCCTCTCCTGCACTTCTCCAGTGTGGATGGTTCCCAGATCACCCTGCCTCTACTATGGGGTGTCAGCAGCAGCCCTCTCCCTCTCCACTACCTGCAATGCCAGGCCAAGGTTATCGTTTTTTCTCTTTTTTCCCCAAGATATAACCTGGCTGACACAGGAGAGTTGCCATGTCTCATTCCAGCTGTGCTCCCAAGCCTTCATAGCAATTCTCATGGATTAACCCTCTTCCACAGGATTAAGGCATGGATTTGCACCTAGCCATACAGTTATAAAGTAAACCCATGAGAAGTTTTATGCAACTGCTGCATTGTTGCATGTCATTTTTAGTAACACTGAATTTTAAGAGAGAAGCCTATCTGTAAACACACAGGTTTGCTAAAAGGAGGATGACTGTGACTTGATCTGAAGGCAAGATGTACATCTTGTGCTAAGTCTCAAATATGATTCCAATTAAAAGGCAAGAGAAAAAAATTGCTCAGTTAGTAGTTCTTGAACACCGCTTATCCCACTAGACCTTGACAAAAGTACGTTTCTGAAAACAGCTCTTTTGACAAAACAGAGTTCTGCTCCTTTTCTATACTATGACGACACTGACTTCCTGCACAACTATGCTGGGGAAAGCAGCTTGGATACACCATACCCCAGAGAGCCCACAGTATCTGTCTTTCCCAGCTGACTCTACCAACTTGTAAACACGCTAAAACCAGATGGTACTCAAGAAAAAGCAGCCACAGTAGTCTTAAAAGGGTAATACATACCACAAAGCATTGTAGCACAGTCCACAATGGAGTGAATCCAGGCCGTTCTGGCATAATCCTGCCCAAAGTATGCCTGGAACTCCACAAAAAAAATGGAGATGCACCTAGGAAAGAAAACATGAACACTGATCTGTTGAACATGGTCTATTTGCCTCTCAGAAAGCACCAGTCTTGCTTTTCAGGTATCAAAAGTACCCACTTGAAGGTCCTCTCCCAGGAAAATAAAATCTGTGGTTTGTCTAAATCTCAATGAAATGGAGAAAATTTTAAACAGTTTCTAAGAGACATTGGAAATGAAAGGCTACCTTAAGACATGAAACGATGTGTGCAAGTTGAGTAATTCCAACAGTACTCTCTGTAAGGCACCTACGATAGGGTGATTCAACCAGAGAAGAATCCTTGCTTTGCACTGGCAAAAGCTGAATCACAGATTTGTTTCCAGCTATTATCCCAACAGTGGGATTAGACAATTAGGCTGATGTAGAACCTAATTCAGACGGATAACAACTCCAGAGAAATTGTAAACATTATGATACCACATGTTTCTCACTGTAGCATCTGCTGCTAGATTTTTATAACTCGTATTGGTTTGAACAGAAATTAAATTGAAGTTGTAATTATCACCAGCAATTTACTGCCCACATCATAATGTTGCTTCCCTGGTACACAAAACCCCAGCTCTTCACTGACCTGGTTGCTCTCTAATGGCATTCACATCTGCACAAACTGGCAGAACAGGGCAAGCATAGTACGTACAGAGCTAACACCACCTACAGCTCTGTGTTCATGCATCCACAAGTGCAAAGCAAGGGACAAGCAACTCCTCGTGAACAGAGAATCAAAACACAGCAGTAGCCCGTAGACCTTCCAACAGTTTATTGAAATACTTCCAGAAGAGGTTACTTTGGTCTCCTTAATGAGTGTTACTGTTCTACCTGTCTCTGCAGGGGAATGGATTAAAAGGCTGCATAGTTTCGTTCTGGTTTCTGGATCAGCAAGAAATCCCTTTTCCCACTCTCTTTTTTTTTTCTCCTGCAAAACAATCAACGATCACTTTCTTCAGCTTTTTTCTTGCACATACTTCATCCCTGTGTATTACTCTACATGTGTGCCAGTCGTTAGATGATTTCTTGGATGTAACACATTTCACACACGTAAAAGGAATTAAATCCATTAGGAAATGTCTACTGCTATCTCAGAACTGGTACATTTACATGTGTAAACTAACACCATGTCAATGTTTCCATGTCCCTTTTATGCTGTTGACTCCAAGACACTAGATTTTAAATCACTAAAACTGGCAGCTCTATTTTAAAAGAACTATACGATTTAGGTAGGAAACACTGTATTGACATTATAATGAGACTGTCTCAGTGTTCCTCACCTACCAGGGTGCCTATCTCTCTGCTTAATATAGCTTAAATGTCCATGTTCACACATACCAGGCTCCTCTGCCTCCAGTCAACATCAAAGTCACCCAACAGCAGCTGTGGAATTCATCTCACCCCAGATGTATACATTATGTTTATGCAAGGCAGCAGTCTATTCCTGTTCTTTCTATTTTTGATAAGTAATTCTGAGAAAATATTTTCTGCATATTTCAGATACCAGAAGGGTAGAAAGGGGCCTCCTCTCCAGGGCACGCACTCCTCTCAGTAAGGATGGTACCTGAAAAGCTTGCAGTAGGAGAAGGGGGTATTCACAGGTTTCTCAGACTCGGGAGCCAAGCAAATCCACTGGGACTAGCAAAAATGAGCACAGCTGTGGGGTCAGAGGGACACAGAGGACCTCGAGAGATCCCACATGATTCCTCCCTCCCCAGCCAAACCACCACGGCCTGAAACAATGCTGCCTGCCCAAGGCTTTGATTCTGCAAAAAAATCAAGGAGAGGGTGTTGAGAGATACAGCAGCTGTCAGAGGAGGTAAGACAGAGGGCTCATAATCTCTCAGCCATCCCCACAGCCTTGGAGATTTAATGAAGCCTTTAAAAATGTAGCAAGAGAGAGTTTTGTACTTAGACAGATTAACCCCTGCAGCCGTGGGGACATCACGGAAGATCCCACATCCTCTTCCTAAGAAACAACAACAACAACAACACCACAACCACACAGAAAACCCAAAAACCAAACCACAGACAGGGTAATACCACAGGTCAGAAAGACAAGAAGCAGCCCCTTTACCTCGTCACAGCCCGGGTACAGATAGTGACAAGGAAGCAGCCCGCAACAATCATCCACCCCCAACCTCCATCGGGAGGGCCGGTGTGCCGGGATGAGACCATGGCGCAGGCCGGGGCGATTCCTCCCTTCTCCCCACCTCAGTGGCAGGGGCAGACTCCGGCCGGCTCGCCCAGCGCGGGCCGCGGCTGCTTGGCACATGGGCTACCGGCCATCTGGAAAGAGAGAGAAAAAACAGGCGGAAAGGGAATTAGACTACATCACACATGCTGTAACCTGCACGGCTGGGCTAAGACTTCCTGCTTTGGCTTTATTGTGTAAAAAGCGAGGGTTTTCTTTCAAATGCAGTCTATGAAAATTTGTTGGAAGCAAAAGTGCTATCAGAATTTGGCCCTGTATCTGGTACCATTTATCTGAGGGTAATTCGCCCGGCGGTTACATCCTAGCACACGATATCCTTTTTCCCCTAAAAGCATTGTAACACATCCATGTAAGGCACACACTTTACTGGTGCCGGTTACTGCAGCTCATTTGCCTTCAGTGGGGCCCCATCCACTCACACCGGTCCCTGGCCTGAACTGTATTTTCAGTTGCTGTCTCCATGCACAACAGTTGCTGTTCTTACTTATACACACTTCAGGGCAAAATTCTTGTTTGAGGCAATACAATTTTCACCTTCGTATGAAAAGGGAATATTCGCTGCAAAATCAGAGCAGATCTGGTGATGAAATGACCTTGTTCGCACAAGCCAAACCCTAGATGAGGGCTGTAATCAGGCAGGACGCAGCAACTTCATTTACTGAGCATGGGCAATTCACTGAAGGGTAAAGCTAGCCTGTCCTCCTCTTCCATCCACTTAAATCAAAGTAGTGTCTGTAGCCCAACCATAACATGGGCTCTAAATGCACACCGAGTGCTGCAGGGTACTGCAGGAGTCCAAATGATACCCACTGGACCCTAGATGAGTAATTGAGTTATGTGTTGGAGTAGCTTTGTCAATGCTGTGAGTGTCATCAGCAGTACAGGACCAAAATCCCTTATTCCTGTCTGCATCAGTGACTGCATGGCAGGGCTAGGTCATGGGACCCGAGACATCTCATACTGCCCAGTGCAAGGGGACACAGTGCTGGCTGTCAGTGATAGGTTTCAGACCATGTTTTTACCATCACCAGTGGGCACCTATTCCCTGAATGAATCAAAGACTTATAGGAAATAAGTAAACTATCTGGGATGTCTTTGAGTCTGCTTGGAGCAAAACCTCAAGTAACTTCCATATCACCTAGTATGACAGATGCTGAATATAAACCTTCCCCACTGACAAGAACCACCAGTTTCCCAGGAAATGTTATCTGTTACAGCACTTAAGAGGGCTGCAGAGTTACTCAAAAGTGCAACTCAAGAAAGCAGCTACATGGCTAATAACGTACCTTTTTAGTCATTGAAGCTGCTCAGCCAGGTGTTGCTCAAGGCTTGGCTCTGCAAAGCCCAGAGCTCCCTGGCTCAAACCAGCAAGGCACCCCAGAGCCCACTCTAAATATCACCACAGGTGAACCTTTGATAAGTATTCATCAGCTGCATTCCCCGAGATATCAGAAGGTGCATCTCAAAACCACTACAAAATTATTTGAAGAAAATATATACGTATTACAAGGTGAACAAAGTAGGAGAAGACAGGAAAGACAAAACAAACAAAAACCAGAACATACTTAGCTTAGCTGAATTCCCACTAGGCTGTAAATAATTCCCTGTAACAACACTGTACAAGAGAATCAGTGGACTCTTTCTAAAAAAGTTTGGTAGTCTTCTGGCTTAAAAAGGATAAGAAGTGTTATCCTAATCTACCTGTTTGGTTTTCAAAGCCCAGGAATTGCAGCTGATCATACAGGATACCATCAAGCCCTGTATGCTAACACAACTCAGCCCGTAAATGTTAAAAACAGAAAAGCCAAATACAATCTTCGAATACAGGGATTAAGTCCAAAAGCCAGTGGCTGTGCTGTCTTATGAGGTACCTGAACTGCCATGGGAAGTGAACAATGAAGAGAACCACTTTTAACCATGCTTGTCAACAATTTTGAGCAGTGGTTTAAAGTAACCATGTTTGAAACAGTATCCTTAAAAAATATAAATGAATAAAAACATCCACAAAAGATGCCAAAACTATATTAAACCACCATCCACTTAGACAAGCTAATAAGGGTCAAGGGTCCCAGCTGGATGAAGTCTTTACAACTGCATTCCTACAGCTGATTAGAAAAACCACACAAAGCAAATGAAATCCAAATGAGTTTACCATTTCAAACCTCACCTTCTAGGTCTTCAGTTGCCAGGACTTGCATACATAAAAGATCAATGAAAGCTCTGGACTGCAGACCAGGACAGTTTGCCTTTTCTGGCACAACTTTCTAATACACAGCAAAAAAGTGCCAGTGCAGCTGACAGAGCTTTCTGAGCAGGCTCTGCAGGACACCACCAGCCTCTTCACAAGCCTTGCGACGCTTTGCTTGAAGAGTAAAGTTCATTTTTTGACTTCACCTATTTGCTTCAGGACAAACATACAGCAGAGCCAGTGTGTACCCGCACCATCCTTGCCTCCTCACTATGTTCTGAAACAACAGCTCTGACACAAACAGTCAAATTGAGGGGGAAAAAGGAACAACAGGCTGACTAATGGAGTAAAATAAGAAAGCCCGTGTGTAGGTAAGTATAGCATTATTCACAAAACCTTTGAGGGAGGCTGAAAATGCCTGCAGTCAAAAGTTAGAGGAGGAGGGGAACATGATACAGAAGACACATTCATGGACTTGCCACTCGATACACACATTCTGTGCTTGCCCTCCAGAATGCACTGCTAATTTGTGAGCAGACCGTACCTCTCATGTGTTGAATCGATCCAGATGACAGAGCTTTACAGGGTTTATGCTACATTTTGAGTAAGCTGACATGAACTAATGACTGATTCTTTATCTAATAGGGTCAATTATATATCCCTTTCCGTATAGTTCCAAGCAACAACTGTCTTATTAAATATGTGCAAATATTGGATCAACGAGGTATCTGATGGCTAAGGCAGTGGTTACATGATTCTTCATGCTGGATCAGTGAATGACCAGATCATCAAGCAATATAATTAGATGCAAACCACCACCACATTCCATCTACTTAGATCAAAACCAAAATTCAACACTTTTGTAGATGTCTGTGTCTAACCTGGCCATGGAAAAAAGGCAGCTGACATCCAATCTAGCATGAAGCCAGAGTGGCACAGAGAAATTATACCCTGATTTGGCAATAAATTCTCTCATTACCTTATCTTGTCAAGGTGACGTGAACAAGCAGAGCACATACCAGTGCTTTGCAGTGTGTGGCCAACACGCTTTGCATCTAGTGCTAAGGGCCTCAAATTTATTGTATTATTGCAAGTTTAATATGTTACATTCAGATGCCTGGATGATTGAATAGCCCATAAGAATCCGTGACAGCCACCTGAATTACAGGGCACTGATAACGTTCAAATTATTTTGCTCAAGTTTTTCCTAGCAATTGCAAGAATTGCCATTTGGTAGAGTTTGCATAAACACAGGATACATCACAGAGAGACCCTGCACAGTTCAGATGTACGTCTGCAGCACTTTTGCAGAATCTTGGCCTGGCAGGGCTTCTGTTTTTTTGTATCTGAGCAGTGTCTTTCACTGCCCCTTCTAGAGGGATGAAGATTTCATTTCAAGTTCTGATTATTAAGGGTGTAGGAGGA